ACTGAGAAACACCAGTCCATACCGAGCAGCCAGACTGAGAAACGGGGCTTTACAGGCACAGGTCCTGGGAGCATTTGCCTCCCATCTACATGAAGGGAAGTTCAGGAGGTGATGTGCACTTTGCCCCAAATGGAGGCTCACTGTCATCAGGGGGATGACTGGCAGGGGACAGTGATGATCGGCGATGATCAGTGATGACTGACAGCTTAAAACATGACTGGGTCCTACTTCGGGATCATTTTCTCCATTCACTGAAAGCATCCTCATTTCTTCACTTTCTAAGGGGTATATTTAGAGATATCAGGCTACAAGAGCAGAATGATAAGTGTTTCTCTTACCTCTTCCCAGTGGTATTTAGAACTGAACTTTTAGAATGCAGGAAGATCATGCTCCCTATGGATTAATCCATTAGGGACAGTAAAGCCAGCATTTTAGCAAAGGGCACACAGGAAAAAGAATTAGTAAACAAAGGAGTCTGTGTGTGTGTGTGTGTGTGTGTGTGTGTGTGGCCAATCCAGGAATATATGGCTGGGGGTGAATAATTGGATTTGTTTTCTTATCAGATTCCTTGTCTACAAACAGGGAGACCACTCATTTCATACACTTTCCACTGCCCACCTGCACTGTTAAGGTAGGCTGGAACCCTGGTAGGAAAGACCTTCAGAGCTAGAGAGAAAATGCATCTGAATGACAGGAATTCAGGCTATGTTTCAGTCCTCCCTTAAATCCTTGCTGTTGGGATAGTTCCCTGCTTTGGAGAACAGTCAAATTAGGGACAGGAAAGGAAAAAGGAGCTGGTAAAGCGTACCAACAAGGGAAGGGAAACCCCCACATGCAAGGTCATGGACAGCAAAGAAAAGACTCAAGGCTGCAGAGAGGTCCCTGGCAGGGATTACATGGGGAATAGCTCCAAGCTGGGCAAATAGGGGAGGGGGTGATGGCCTGGGAGAGCACAGACCACAAGGGCTGGAGGAGAGGCAGTGGGGTTAATGTGGCCAAGGATAAGTTGAGAGTGCAACAGGGTTAAGATAAGGCTTTATTTTTTCTAGCAAGAAGTGACATATGTGACTGCTAGCAGGAGGAAGCCTGTGCTTAGGGATAGGGAGGATCAACTAGAGGAATTCTGGAAGTGGGAGACCATAAGCACATGCCACACGTGTGTGTAGTGGAAAGTAAGGTGTCAATGGTTTGCAGATTTGCCTAACGGTTGCCCAGTTTTCGTTGGTTAGTAAACACTGAGATGCTGTGTGGTATGGGGCTTAGGTATGCAGATTTGGAGTTCTGCATGATTTGGGGCAAGTCATTGAAGATCTATGCAGTCTCACGTTCCTTGGGTGTAAAATGAGAGGAACAATAATATCCATCTTTGTGGTGAGAAGTGAATGTTAATACATGCAAAACACCTACAATGATTCCTGGCTCATAGCGAATATTCAAAATGTTAGATCTGGTAATAAAAATAACAGCTATCTTTGAGACTTAATGGTGGAGAGCTCAAGGTCAAGTATCATTATACAGAAATAGGAACTAAGAAGGCAAAAGTGATTAAACTTGATATAAGACCTCCAAATGATATAGGAGAAATAATATAACTCCCAACCTGCTAGATGTCAGATGTGGCAAGTTTGTGTTCCCCAAAACCAAAGAATGAATTCTAAGGAACGATGGAGGTTAAGAGTAGAAAATACTTACTGAGAGAGATAGCTCCTGAGAGGCAGGAGGGGACCTGAGAGGACTCCGCTTAACAGAAGTTTTATAGAGGAAAATCACAAGGTGGGTACAACATTGGATAAAACTATGATCAACCAATAAGATCACAAGTATAGCTGCTAAGGTACTATTGATCCAATGAGGAAACAAGTTGTGTAACAAGTGTACATGGAAAGAACAAGGACATTTTTTGGAAGAGATGAGTCCGGAGGTCCTAGTTACCCACCTGGTGACTGATGTCTCTCTAGACTTTACTGGACCAGGTGATACCAATTATAGCATGTTGTTACTTGGGGAGGCATATAGGCCTGGTCATTCCATCTTTATCTTGAGGCCTGGCCTTCAACAGATGCACCTCTAGCCACAGTTGTAAAGTATTCTCATCTTCTGCACTGACTCCCTCAAGGGCTTAGCATTGTCAGACTGCCTATATTTCTAACTAACTTAGCCGTCCATAATAAACAAACCCAGGGCATATTCTGAAGTTTTTTTTTTTTAATAGGGGTGGATTCCAAGTTCTGTTATTCCTATCCACCCACCCTGATGAACTTATTTAAAAATTAACCAAATCTTCTGATTAATCAAATTTTGAACACCCATCATAGTAAATGATTTGGAGACCCTAACAAGTAGTCCTTTTTAAAATTGATACTCCAATGCTTTATAATTCTATACTATATATATGCTATATATAGTATAACATTAAAATTATTTTGGTTAAATTTGTAGTTTCAATCGCAAGATTGCAGCAAGCAGTGTGTTTCATGATTTTAAGAAAAAAAAATGTGTAATGAAGCCACCAGCATTCACTCATTAAAAAAGTCACCAGTAACCATTTATTAAAAAAAGATTGAAGGCAAAAAATCAGGGTAGTGGTCTTCTTTCTCCCTTTAAGAAATGGAATGAGGCCAGGGATTTAGCTCAGTGGTTCTGCCACCTGCCGTGCAACCACAAGGACCTGAGTTCCATCCCTGGTACCAAAAAAAAAAAAAGAAATGGAATGAGTGCCTGGGTGGCCAGCAGTGTGGGAGGGTTGGGGGTGCTGACTCCCCAGTGAGGCATTATGCAATCAGGCTAGTTCTCTTACACCACTTGTTAAATTAGAAAGAGGGGTGGAGGAAGAAGCCAGGTCTTCCTTCACTCACCCCAGGGCACTAGGAAAAACTTTGGTGCTTCCAAGAGGAAATGCTCCAAGTTGAAGTCTGGAGCCTTGGTCTTTGGCTTGGCAGACAAATGCTGAGTTCTCATTTTCTCATTCCAAAGTGGGTCATATAATTGACATAGGAAGAACAGTTGAAATGGGGATCATCCTAGAAAAATCTGTAACTCACTTCTTTTTTTTTTTTTTTGGTACCGGGGATTGAACTTGGGTCCTTGCGCTTGTGCAGCAGGCGGCGAAACCACTGAGCTAAATCCCGGGCATGTAACTAACTCACTTCTTTATAGTATGCTACTTTTAAACAAAGGTGAAGGTAGTTGACACTAATGAATTTGGATTTGCTACCAGTGTGATTTAGAAGAACATGAGTTGTCACTAAGACTAAAAACAGAAAATGTTAAAACCCAGATAATCACACAAAGGTTGTTTTCTAATCACCCTCATCTTTTGTGGAGTATGGAGACAGAAGGTTTAAAATAAAGGTAGGGTCTCTGGGTAAGGTGACAAAGGTACCCTCCATTTGTGGTTTGCATGGAATACAGTTAATCCACTGAATTACACCAGTACCTCCATCTAGGTCACAGTGGTAGGGGACCTATGGCGTGTGTGTTATTTTGAGACAAAAGATGTTAACCTCTGAATTTTTTTAAAATGAAAACCTCAGTATTCAGGTTAAATTCAAGTGTTGGCACTTTGTGATCAGTGGGTTTGGGGTTGCAGTTTGGCACTTGGTGTCCAAAAGGTTCGCCATCCCTGGTCTGGAAGCTCAAAGGTGTTGTGTGGGGCGAGTACAGACATAGTTTTTTAGACAGTCTGGATGGAGTTTTGTTTCTACTATTGTATGTGTGACCTTGGACTAGTTACATTATCTCTGTGTCCGTATTTCCTAATACCTAAAATGGGGTTAACAGTACTCGCCTCACTGGGCTGTTATGAGAATTTTATGAGATACACGTAACAGCCTTAGCAAGGTGCCTGACACAGGCTAAGTGCTCAATAAATATTACCAGTTATCATTAAAGCACTTTCAAGTTGACAAATATTCCGCTTACAGACTTTTTAATGGGACAAGGAAGGGGCAGAGGTGGCAGTTGAAGGGTACTCAATCTTAAAAAGGAGGGGAGGTGGAGAAACTCACTTTTAGCACAACCAATGGTGTACCAGGCAGAGGCGAACCCTGGGACTCCTTCGAGGGCTCAGGGAGTGCAAAATGCGCCCCCGCCCTTCATTCGCTACTCCAGGGCAGGCTCACAACCTAAACTCACAGCTAAACTCTGCCTATCCTTCAACAGGCGCTGAGGAAACATTGAAAGAATACTGGCTAGAGTCAAAGTATTAGCTTTCCCTAGGCAACAACACGTGGGTCAGGCGAGTCGCGCACAACAGATGTCCGCGTCGGCCCCCACCATGTCCGCCCCAGGCGCGTTCTCCGCAGTTGCTGTGCATCCGTTCACTCCAAAAGGCACCGCATCCCCGCTTTCCGCAAAAGCCGCTCTCCCAAGGTCACGCAGCAGCCCCGGGATGGGGCTGGACCCGCAACCGCGCTCTGCACGCAGCCCACGGCCAGCGCCCCTGGCCCTGGAGGGGCCTCCGCTGGCCGCGGACTGTGGGCGGGGAGCGAGCGGGGACGCTCCGGAAGCCCCGCTGGCGACTTCGAGAGCCCCGGCTCCGGGCGACTCGCTCTTACCCCGGAGGGTCTCCCGCAGAGGGGAGTCGCGGGCTAGGGGCGCGCGCAAGGACAGGACCGCAGCGCAGCGCACGCGCACACGCTCGCCCGCCGCCCAGGAGCAGACGGAAGGCATGGAAAGTTCCAGCCGGTTCGAGAGCGGTAGGTAGAAGGCGCGGCGCGGTGCGGGGGCGGGGCCGCAGGGGGGCCGGACCGGGTCGAGGGCGCGCGCGGCCTCCGTGAGCCTCTGGGGGCCGGGTCCGCCCCGCAGCGGCCGGCGGGGCGAGGGTCCCTACGGGGTCGGAGCCGCGGGCAGCCGAACTACGGTGCGCTACGGGCCCCGCGAGAGGGGGCGGGGCGGGCGGCCGCGCCGAGGGGCGGGGCTGCCGAGGGGGCGGGGTGTGCCGAGGGGCGTGGCGCCCCGTGTGCGCAGCTGCCGAGCCTTAAAGCCCGGGCGCGCGCGGCCGGAGTGTGCTTTCACCGCCCGGGAACCTTCCGGCCCGATTGTCCGCTCCTTCCCGACTGGGTCCTCGCCCGTCTGCCTCCCGGGACTCCGCTCGGTCCGGAGCCACGCGCGCCGAGCGTTCGGACATGCCTCGCTACGAGCTGGCTTTGATTCTGAAAGCCATGCAGCGGGTAAGTGACCTTCCCTCCGAGCCCGTCTGCCCGCGCGGGCGTCCCCTCCGCCGCTAGGCCGCCGTTCCCCGCGCGCCCGGGCGCGGCCCCGAGGGGGCCAGAGCGGGTAGGTGGGCGGGCGGGAGGAGGGGGCGCGCGTGGGCCGGCCGCGCGCGCGGGAGGCGGGGGTGTGCCTGCGCGTGTGCGCGGCCGCGGGAGGGTGTGCCTCGCACGCGGGAGGGAAGGAGGGAGGCAGGGAGGCAGGGTGGGGGGCGGGGCGGCCATCGGCCCGGCCCGCGGAGTCCAGTGGAAGGCCCGCGGAGGACACGCGCGAGCGCCCGGCCCCGGCCCGCCCCGCCTGTCGTGAAGCTGCTCGTCGCCGGCCCCGCCGCCCGCTCCGCTCCGCTCCGTCCCGCCTGCCCGCCGAATCGCCCGCCAGCCGGCCTCCCCGAAACCTCCGTGCTCAATAAAACCTTCACCTAAGGCGTGTTTGTGCAGTTGCCCATCCCACTCGCTTGTAACCGCTCTCACGTTAAAAAAAAAAAAATCTATGACTTCTCTTTTTCTGACTTCAGCGAAAATCCTGCTCCCGGTGCCCTTTGCCGGGTTTCATTCATCCAAGTTGTGGCCTTGCTTGCGCCTTGCGAAGACTTTTCTCCCCCAGCTTTTGATTGATCTTGAGGTAGGGGCTTTCAGGTTTGGAGGGATGGTAAGCGAACCAGCAGCCCGTTCACTTCAGGTGATGGCGCAGCCGAGGACAGGGGTCGGCGGCTGGAGGCAGCTCTTCATCCTCAGTTCTGGGTCAGGCACTCCTCAAGTCGTCGCCGAAATCCCCATTCTTCCGAGAATTCGGTAAAGTAGAGTGTGGTGTATGCTCTTCCCCCTCCGACCCCCACCGGGTACAATAAAAAGATAATCGTCGCTCCTCGTCTGAACTTTGGAAAGTTTCCTTTCTGCAGCGCTAGAGATGTTCTACCTTTTATGTTTGAATTAGGCTTTAGGTTATTTTCTTAGAGTAAGTTTGTTTGAACTTAAGCCTGGGACCCTGGTTCTAAACTCTTATTGAAAAACCAGAAATCATGGAGCAAGAGGAGATTGATTGTTAGAAAGTATGCTTTGCGTAGGGTCAGCTGGGAAAAGGCACCAGGGTTGTTTGATCAGGTCCAGAGAAGGCTGGTCAAGCATGCCTTTGTGGCCCTAAGCTTGCTCTCCCCGCTTTTGGGAGAAGATTGTATTGTTTTGCCTCTTGATGGCTCTTTCTTGGCCTTCCTCTCCTTTACCGGGATACACTTCTTTAAAAGGGTAGGAACAATGGGGGAGGAAAGCAAGTTCGAATGGAAGCATTTTGAATTAAGTGGAGATTGTTGAGCCCTCCCTTTAACTGCTTTTTAGGTAATGTTACAGAACCTGGGAAATGTCAGAAATTGCTGAAATTACTGTTGTTTACCTTCCTTTTCTTAGGGAGGGAGCAGGTGATCACTGAAGAGGCAGTGTGTAGGCATATTTGTTCATTCCATAAACCTTTGAAGTGAGGACTGCACTCTGGTTGACATGGCTGCAAGTATATTGATTAAATGTATTTCTTTCATTATGCTGCTGGTATTGTTTTTTGTGTACTGTAACACCCAGAATTCATAATCTTCAGTGGCGCATACAGTTTTTACTCTAGTTCAGACAAGCCAAGTTTCCTTTGATTAAATAAAGTACCTTCCCACTGCCTGCCTGGAAAGCACAAGGACCCGAGTTCGATCTCCAGTACCCCCCCCCCCAAATAAAAAATAAAATAAGTACCTTCCCTAAAATCCTTGCCTGAGGACAGGGGACAAAAAAAAAAACAACAGCAAAAACTTACAAATAATCAAGAACTCCCCAGAAGGGAGGAGGAGACATCCATGGCAGTAGATAAAACTGTTGAAATTATGTTGGGCTCCTCAACCTAAATACGCTTTCATGTTTTTTTGTTCAAGAACTTATCTCTGAGCTGGTTGTAGATGTGTAACAAACCCCACAATTTACAGATCATCAACAGTTTGGCTGCTTTCTATTTAGGAAAATTGTACTCTAACCAGAATGAATACTTAGGGGAAAATGAATGAATGTTAACACTAGGTTTGTTTAGCTCACACTATCAGAGCTTGATCACTTTTAGCAGGGTCTGAAAACCTTTATTTCCTACCCAAGGCAGTTGTTGCTCCTGCTACGGGAAAGCTATTGTAACCCTCAATTCTAAGTTGCATATCTTTTATATTTTAGATTCTGGGAAGTTTACTTACCAGTGTGGTCCGTTGATAGTGTTCGCCCTTCCTCTAATCATGTATGTGTCTTGGAATTGAGGAAATATATTGGGTAATTTTTATAGTAGATACAGGAGTTTAGAGACTAGTTTTCCCAGCATTTTCTTAGGCACCCAAGAGCTGTACTGTTTCTTGCCTGTCCGAAGAGCATCCCTACTCTTATGTGGGGGGTATGTTTACTTTCCCTGTGCACCTTCATTATTGTTTTGATCTCTACCTGTGCTCTTTCATATTGAGCTTGCTGAATTTTTACATTAAGAGAAAGATACATGTTGAAACTTACAACATCTCTATTGTAGCAGAATCACTTGTGGCAGTTAACATGGAAGGATTTCAAGGTGCAGTACATGGAATAAATATTTCCTGATGGTGTAAATTTTAGTCACTCAGAAGTTCAATGTCTTTCTCGTTTTTGCAGTTGAGAACTGGTTATGAATCTCTGCTTTTGTTCAACTTGCTAATTTGTGCATTTGTGAATGTAGAACTTTATTTGCAGGTATCATTTAGATTGACTTTTCATGTGTATATATAAAAAAGTTGTAATTTCTGTATTCTCCGTACTCTTACTTTAACATAAATAGTAGGTAAAAGTGTACACCCTAAAAATGACAATGAAGTAATGAATATTGTGAAACCAGGGCTTTGAAGGTGATGACAAGTCATTTGAAAAAGTGGTTGCTTAGACCATATTTATACAAGTCTCCAGAATAAAGATTTTTCGAAATCCTATTACCCCCATATCAAATAACATCTGAAGAGTTTTGTTCACTACTGGAAAACAAAGTATTCAGAGGCGGTAATGTGGAAAGACATAGCTGCAAAGACCAAGACTTCATATTACCAATCTCAACTCAATAAGAGGAAGACCTTTTCTAGCAACTGAAAAAAGGATTGCCTGTGAGATGGTGAGTGCTCTCCTCCACCTTGACCCCTGCATTGGGAACTTTGAGGTGGATAGGAGAGAAGGTGGGTGAGCTCTGATACGGATTTCGGAGTTGCTTCCTGTGAATCTGGGGAAATGGCTGATAATCTTTGATTTCACTTTGTAATTAGGTTTTAAAGATTGTTATTTAGTTTCACTTAGGCAAAAGCTGGTTGCTAGTACATGAGGAGTAACTACACACTGGAGGAACCTAGAAAAGCTGTAGGAAACAGTAAAAATGTTTTACATCTGGAATGAGTATAGGAAGAACTTTAAGGGGAAATATGTGCAGAACTTAAATATTCTTTGATTACTTAGTTTAGGAGTACTTTAATTATCATCCCTTACTCTGTTTGCTTAGAAGATTATCACAGTTGTCCTAGATTTCTAAAAGCCCTGAGAATATTTTTTTCTGAAATCATCACTTAGGATTTAAAATGAGAATGGTTTAATAACTAACTCAATTGCTAAATGAATGCGATAAAGTAAACATTTACATATCCTCTTGTATATGTATTTATAGTAGAAAAATAGTTACTTTGGAAATTTTAAGTTCTTGTTAAAGGATACTATGTTCAGTACTCACTTATTTTTAATTTCATTGCAAAGCTGATTATAGTTTAATATAACCAGTTGTCTTTCATAAGTAAAGAGTTTTATGATATAATTTGAGTTTAACTTATGATTTGGTTTTATTTAGACACAGAAAAATAACAGTGACAATTCAGTTTTGGAAATCTAGAAAGCAGTAGGTTTTCTGGTTGGGCAGTGAAGTCTTTCTGTTTCTGTTTACTGAAGCTTTTTTGATTAGAAAACCTGGCCGTAGTTTGTGTATTCTAGAATTGAATCCAGTTTAGGATAGTCGGCAAGTACTACCTACAAAATGTTTGCTTTTCGATACCTTTGGAGATATAGGGTGCTAATGAACTTAATGTCTATGGCTAGCCAACCTACACACATTGTAGTTCGGCTTGCTTGACAAAATTTGGCAACTAGGAAGTAGTAACATCTCTGCTGTTAGTTGGTGGGAAACTTGAGTTCAAAAGTGGAAGCATCTTCTAGTGTCAGATGACCATGTCAGCCTTTTTTTCTGTCATGGGCCCTCTGAACACCTTAGTTTATATCTTGTGTAGTGTTGCCTGTGCTTTATCTATGTGAAACAAGACAGTGTAAAATAGTTACCCAGTAATGAAAGGCGTGAGCTTTTGTGGACAATGTTGTACTTTCATGTGGTATTAAAGTTTTCTTGGGTTACAGCTTATTGCCGCGCCAAGTGATTGAAGAAGGAGTCCTGTTCCTGCCCCTGAGCTACAGCTCAGGTGCAAGGAGTGGCTTGGGGCTAAGGAGTCCTTCCTCACCACATAATGGTTTGTATGTATGGAGACCGCTTGTCAGACTTTGACATTCTGCCTTAATACTTTTTTTGTTATTCCTGACTTGCACATTCAATATTTATGAAAGATTTTTAAAATCTTAGAATATGTCCTGTATTAATGTACAGCTTATTGAATCTTCTCAGTTTGATCATAAAATTACCTTAAAATGTTCAAAAGCAATGAGCTAAAGTTTTAAGCAATTAAAAAAAAAATAGTGAGCTTTCTGTGTTTACAGGTGTAACTCATCTAAAAGAAAACTAGAATACAGAAATTTGACTTTACATAAAGAGGGAAGGAAGGATAGAGAATAAATGATATATTGTGCTGTGATTATTCATACCTACAACAATTTGTTGCAATTTATCAGATTTTTCACTTATCTCCTCGCTTTGTGTTAGAATTCACTTCTCATATTCTCATGATTTTATC